GACGCATTTCCTCCTTCGTTACCCCATTGACCTAACATGATGCTTACGTTGATGTAACTTGTAGAATTTTAATTCTACATCATTTCATATAGCTGAAAATAACTTGTTTAATTTTGTGCAAAAAAAAGTGGATCACAGCGCCTTGATATTTCTCTGACTCCTGATTGGTCAGTTAATACTAATATCATGTTTTCAACTACGTTCGGATTGTAGCGATCTAGTTTCTGACCTGAACGAAAATACAATTCCGTCAAAAATCTGTCTATATGTTTCGAGCCTATCACGTGACTTGCAACATTTTAAATACAAGCGACATTTTCAACTCTTTCTCTTTTTCCACTGTTTTTTTTTTCTCTCAAAACCAAAACAATCTAGTCAATGAAGTCATACCCAACAAAAGAATTTACTAAACATAAAATCAGAAATAATTTCTAAATGCAGAGATGAAAAGAAATACCTATTATCAGTATTTATACCAAACGGATAAAAAAAAATACCAACCACCACTACTACATAAACCACTATTGACCCTATAAACATGAAAAGAAAAAACACTGAAATCATAACACAATCAATTATTTTCTAATTCAAACTACCATCATAATAATTATAATTATCTTTATTATCATTCCACCACCATTACTACGATCACTTCTACCACTTTGCAATAACTATTTGCTGGTACAGTTTTTATTATCATCACCCACTGCCCCCACCATTACTACCACATCACAATTACCATTGCCGTATTAGTCCACAATTACTATGACACCACAATTACCATTACCGTATCAGTCCACAAATATACGTACTTCCCCCCATCACCAGCAAAATTAATACCACCGCATAAATACTAATAAGTATTACAAATTGGAATTTCTACCATTTACATATGCGCAATGGCCAAAAACAAGCAAATAACCGGCTTTAAAATAATAACAATGCAACCTTAAAAAATTAAAAATAATAGCAATTTTTACCTATCATAGTCTTACACAGACCCCATCGTACGTATATACGTGCGAGCGAGAAAACATTATTCAGTGAACAAAAAAGGCGAACGGTCTGCGCGTTGAAAGCGTAACAAACAAAAAATATTCGCTACACAATCCAACATTGAATACAGCGACCAAATCCGTACGTATGTACGCAACGACACATGGATGCGCATATATGCCCAGTCTCACATTGTTCACATATGTTTATGTTTGTGTGAGCTCCGGTGCGTGCGTGTGTGTGTGTTTGCATACGTCAATAAGTGTACGTGCGTGTATGTATGTTTGCGTACGTATGAGTGGAGTTCCGACGACAATTTTTCCTCACACTTCCATAAAAACACCGGTATACGCAACCATGTATAAATCCAAAATTTAAAAATTAATCAGTTTGCCCGACGATCGCAAACAGCGTGAAACGCCGGATCACAAACTCACATCAATCCAACTAAACATATACATATATATATATATATACTTGTGCCGAAATCAATCTTTAATACATGTTTCGTTAAACAAAAGTAGGAAAGTACTATTTTATTTAAAGCATTTCATCCCAAGCAAGGCGGGAATGCTAATAGCACGCTAGAGATTACAGAGAGTGAAAGAGGTGTGTTTGAGGAAAGGATAAAGAGAAGGACAGGGATCAAGATCAAGGCATCAGAAGATGCCGATTGACATTACATTTAAATTTTTGAAGATTATAGTTATCAGGGAAGCAAGTAAGAGGAAGGGAGTTCCACTGTCGGGAAGTGCGAGAGAAGATGCTGTTGGAGTAGAAGAGGTGGTTACATTTAACTGTTTTGACAGTAAAAGGGTGGAACCGAGATGCCAACCTAGTAGCACGCTTAAATTCATGCAGTCGGGGCACCAGTGAAAATAGCTCGTCAGAGCAGATGCCATGAAAATATGTATAGAAAAGACAGAGGGAAGCCACATTCCGTCTGTGAGAAAGTGACTAGAGTCGAGATGTCAGGTCAGGGTCTATCACATTGCATATCTGTTTTTGGATTTTATCACGGACCTCGAGATGAACAGCGGGTGCACCAGACCATATATGGCAATAGTATTCCATGCAAGGACGAAAGTTAGATTTGTAGATGTGAAGGATGGCCTCAGACGAGAAAAAACCCTCTGGCGCAATACAGAGAAACAACTTTCCTTGCGGTAGATGTAGCTATTGATTCAATGTAGTTGTTCCACCCCAGTGGAAAACGTGAGACCTAGAAGGCGTAGAGAGACGCTCTCGTGACGTTGAGCCTCAGCCATGCTGATAGGAGACAGGGAGGTTTCTTTATGGTGGGTAAATGAGAGCAGTTTCATTTTGGAGACATTAAAATTTAAAGGGCCATTTCCTGCCCTAGTCAACCTCAGATTGGGGGTCTTTTACGAGACCAACGGCCAGGTTGACTTTGTCAGCAATGCCAGATCTACTATTGAGACAGGAGTAAATGGTAATGTCGTTTGCGTAGATGCCTACTTGAGAACTGATAACATCAGGAAGA